TTACAAAGGTTGAAACAAGGAGCCCAGTTCTTTCCCAGTTCATGTGAAGCCAAGCACAGTTCACATGTCATTTATGCTTATTTAGATGTAAGCTCTTTGGTGTAAGGACCTTGTCAGCTCTCTGTCCTGTAGCACCGACAGAGTGCTCAGCATGGTACAAAACAAGCCGGGTGGGAGGCTAAGTACTCTCCTAGTCCAGATAGTACACTGAACTACGAGTCAGGAGACCTGCGTTCCAGGTCTAGCTAGGATCCCTCTAGGTGGAGTGTTCTTGGGCATGCCTCAATCCTTCCACCCTTTGCTTGTCTTATCTGTTTAGAACAGTGCTTCTCAAAGTGGGCTGTGAGGGTGCCTGTACTGCTTTGTTTACCTAAAGCAGTGTTTCTTAAACTGTGTTTCGCGGCACACCGGTGTAATGTGAGGCAGTCAGAGATGTGCTGCAGAGAAGAACAGAATTCAAAATGGCCAGCCATAAAGGAGCAGGTGACTTTCTTTTTGCTCAATAACTTTCCCTCCAATTCTTTTTACCCCCGATTCTTTTTTTCTCAACCAAAAGTCCTTGGTGTTCCTCATAAAAAAAATTATTGTTTGGTGTTCCTTGGTCTTAAAAAGTTTAAGAAACACTGGCCTAAAGGGTCAGTAGCCATGGAGCCTTGTGGCTCCTGCTGCTTCCAGCACCTGCCCTTGGCTAGAAATGGTGAACTGGAGCCAATGGGAACTATGAAGTTCCATGACAAGCACCTTTTAGGTAAACAAATCAGTATGGGCCCGCTAGTGCCTTTCCCAAATCAAGCCCACAGCCCACGCTGATTTAGACTACAAGGCCCAGATCCTCAAAGGTTTTAAGGGTCTTGGAATAACTGAACCTCAGCTCTTTGGGACTGTTTTTCACCAGGTGTTTGTACAATATCAAACACAATCAGGCTTTGATCTTGTTGGGGACTGTCAGTATTACGGTAATACACATAATATCAAGACATTAATAAATGCTTTTGCTAGTTCTGTGACCAACCTTTGGGAGTAATATTTTGCACAACAAGCTAATAGAATTTCACTTACCATGTTATCAGACTTATCTATTTGTTTTCAAGCATCAATATAGTTGGAAACATTTTCTGATCACTTACCTTTGGACGAGCTTTTAGCCCTGGGATGGGAGCATGCTGTATATGTCTAAACAGATAACTTTCTTCATAAACGTCTGAGTTATTTTAGGTTCCCATTTACTGCCCTGCTTATCAGATCTTAGAGGACATTGCATCTCTCACTGCAAAGTTCAGAGCTCAATCTGAACTGAAGTATTGGAAGTGTTTGCGGCCAAGATTTCAACTCTCGACAAAGGTCATTGCTAGTCATACAAAATGCTTTTCCTTCCACTAGAACGCCCAGTTAGAGCACCAGAGAATAAATAAGTGGTCATCCAAAAGCTTTTTAAAATTCATGTTGAGCTAATTAATCTGATCAGAGATTTAGAGTATGTCTACACTGTAATGTAAGCCCAGGTTCCAACTCTGGCTTGAGCTCAAACCTTTGTCTACAGAAAAATCTCTCAGACTTGGAGTCAGATGTAGAGATCTAGGAACCTACAGTGGTGGAGGATCTGAGACCATTACCCAAGGTTCAAGCCCTATTGCTTCGCAGTGTACATGCAGCCCCAATTGACTCATGTCCTGGGAGTCCACCAAAAGTATCCCACAATACCCTGGGACAATTTCCTTTGTCCTCTCTATCCCAACAATCGCCACTTGACTCAACTGAAAATACACCCCCTCAACATACAGCAGTACATTACTGAGTCCGCATTAATCCTTCCACTGTCTTCTGATGACCCAGCTACAAACACACCATCAGAGAGCTCTCTGTGTTTGCAATGGAGACTGAACAGAACAAGCCTTTTGTTTCATGGTCATGGGAGCACATCCAAATTTTGGCCACTTTCTTAGTGCACAGCCAGTAAAACTGAGTATGTTGGCAAAAGTACCAGGAAGGACCATACATATCAGTGATAGCTAAAAAGTTGGCAACTTAGCACATTTTCCAGACCAATGACTATTGCAGGGAATGGATTAAGAGGCTGAAGAACAAGTACCAAAAGAACATAGAGTGGAAGTGCCCCTCAAGCATCCCATTGATTTCATGTCTATTTTATGAGGAGTTTGACCTGGTTTGGGACACTGCATGCAGCTGGTCAAACTCTGTCATGCTGCATGATGATCAGGTCTGCAGATATGGTGCCCTGCTGGCTCCAGAGCTCAGTATGGGGATTGATGGGAGTCAGCTGCCCTCTCTGCAAGGGGACCATGAAGTGACTTTGTTGCTGAAACCTGTTCCAGACCTGGCTGTGGAACTGGATCAAGGACAAATTCTGGGTCCATACCTGAAGGAGCGGTCTGATGCCACCTGAGCCTGCAGCAAACTTGGAGGAGACAGAAGCTGTCCCTGAGCCTGGTAAGTTTCTGATTCCAACTTATAGTTTATTATTACAGTAATGGGAGGGATTTCTGCTTTAAGATCCAATGCGAAAGTTATGAGAAGTCCCAGTTATTTGCATGTAGCTGCTAATTTTGGTCTGTTTCCCAGCACATTGGCCTCCCCCTTCTGTGTCTCCTCACTACCACATGGAGACCAAAATGGTGACTGGGATATACAAATACTAATGAATAGCTTTAAAGAGTATTTTTACTGGAAAGACACAGATGTTTGCTAGGGTCATTCCTGTTTTTCTTAAAGTAATAAAGGCTTTAAGCTTGCTACACTGTAATTGTAACCCACACACCTTCTGGATGTGGAGCACTGTCCCATTTGGCGGCACCAAGACCACTTACAGAGAGAAAAATGAGTCTGCTCTACAGCCTTAGGTGACAGCCAGGTGGCTTTTAGCTCATGCAGCAGAGGCTTCAGCGGTCCCAGGTTCAATTCGGCCTGTTGGAATTGAATAATCACTCAGCTGTATTTGGAACCAGTGAAGTCAGTGTGAGTCTGGGAAAATGTGTTCTATTTCCAGACCTCGTTTGTTTTGGTTAGAAGTGGTCCATGTAATATGCAGAGGACAAAATCATTTGTCCCAGGTATGACTGGGGTGTCAGTTTTTGCCTAGAAATATGCGGTGGGCAGGGAGGAATAAGAAAGCTGTGGAGTTCTGCACATTGGCAACCCTAACGGGATAACCTTAACACAGGATCCTGTTAATTTTCTCGTGGATTCTCAACCAAATCCAAGGTGCTAATAGCTGCAGATTTTTACTGCTCTGTGATAATTTTTGAATACTGCACATTCTCAGGTTATTGGGACATGCAGACCCACACAAGTAAGAGGGGCGAGGAGCGTTCATAGGAGCCTGTGCATGCAGTTGGCCCTGCCCTATTACATCAGCAGCAGATGCCATGTGTAGAGAGGGGAGTTCAGAGGAGGCCTTGCTCAGTTTGGGGCTAGTTAATTAGTAAGCCTCTCCCTTAACGAGTGAGGCTTCCCGGTTATGGTTAACTGGTAGGGGCTGGAATCTGCTCTACCCCTGCAGGGCCTGCAGAGGGCAGGAGCGCCAGAGAGCTAAAGCATCATGGCACTCCGCTTTATGACCAGGTGAGCAGTGCCTCTTTGGGCCAGAAGAGGGCATCACAGAAGCAGGCCCTGTCACAGGACGTTAAATATCTCCCAATGTTGGAGATTCCACAGTCTCCCTAGACAATTTATCCCAGTATTTAACCACCCTGACAGCTAGGAAGTTTTTCCTAGTGTCGAACTTAAACCTCCTTTGCAGCAATTTAAGCCCATTGATTTGTAACAGTAGGTTTTGACCATTTTAATAACATGTACAGGCACCATATTTACATAATTGCACCTATAGGATATTATTTAAAAAAAATAACCCATGCAGTTCCCAATACATTGCACAGTAGTAGCTCACAGGTCTCTCCTGTTCAGACAAGTGAATGGAAGATGTTGTTTCTCTGACTAGAAGCTCTAGAGATTGGCATGTTAGTGGAGTACTCAATGAACTTTACAAGCCCATATCATTTTAACACTCTGCCAAGTGTAGTCCATATGGATTATCTTTCAGTGGATGAATGTCCTGTCAGCTTCTAAGGGCAAAGTTTGTCAGACACTTTATGGAGACAGCCCCACAACATACACACTAGCTTCCATTTTAATTCATAATCTACTCCCAAGTTACATTAGGTTCCTGATGAATAACAAAGTTAGTGTATGCATAGGCTGTCAGATCCTATATTTGCTGTGCATAGGAGGTACTTTGCAGCACAGAGAGAGTGGTTCCCCCTTAAAAATAAACCTTGACCATACTGCAGCATTGATTACACCACAGCATTCCCTAACCCTAGAATTCACACAACCCATGATGTGTCACTAACACTGGGGTACAGGAAACACTTGTTCTTTTAAGGGCAATCACTGTGCCATTTAGTTTTAAGACTTCTATTAAATTGTATGGTGAATGGTAGGAGTTATATCTTAAGGCATGTCTAGACTACATCCCTCTTTTGAAAGAGGGATGTAAATTAGACAGATTGAAATTGCAAATGAAGCCGGGATTTGAATTTCCCGCACTTTATTTTCATAATGGCGGCTGCGCGTGCTTTCAAAAAGGCGATTTTGGAAAGTAAAACCGCCGTCCAGATGCAGTTGTGTTGGAAAAAAAAAAACCTTTTTCAAAATAACCTGTAAACCTCATTTTTTCAGGCATTACGGTTCTTTCAAAAACGTTTTTTTTTCTCGAAAGAACCGTGTCTAGATGGCGGTTTCACTTTCAAAAAGCCCTTTTTAGAAAGAACACGCTGGCTGCCATTATGCAAATGAAGTGCGGGAAATTCAAATCCCAGCTTCATTTGCAATTTCGATCGTTTAATTTACATCCCTCTTTTGAAAGAGGGATGTAGTCTAGACATAGCCTTTGTGTTTATATCATACCTTGCACAATGGGCCCACAGTTCTGGCTGAGGTCTCTGTATGTGCCTGCAAGTTATATACTTAACTAGAAGATTTACCTGGCATTGCCTGGGTCTGATGCAGCAGGGACCACACAGGCCTTCCACCAGTTTCTCCCTGAGCCAGCCCAGGCAGGGAGGAGGTGTCCTCTGTCTTCTCCCCGGGACTAGCCCAGCGGCCACTCACCGTCTTCTCTCTGGGGCCAGCCTGGAGAAGGAGAGGATTGAAAAGGGGATGAAAGCACTTGCAAACTGAACAGCCAGTCAGCCAGCTGTGCTGAATCTCACACGCACGCAAAGAGTTAACTTGCAACGCAGAGGACATGAAGGCCGACAGCAGCCACGCCTCTTTCCATTATTTCATCAAAGCAACGGGAATGGCTTTAATTTTCCATGACGTGCTTATGAAATACAAGCTTTCTTGTAATAAAGAAATGATTTGGTTTTGTAAAGGTACATAAGAAATCAATTTCCCATTTTCAAATGAGGTAAGATTAAAAATAAAGCAAACAATAAGGAGGATGAGGGGGAGAGAAGAGAAATCGGAGAAGGTCCCAGCAGCCCTGAGACAGCACTGATTGCATTTGGATCGGTTACAATGCATTCATTAATTGCTTTACTGCAGTAAAGTTTCAGCTGTAGTATTTCTTCAAAGAAATAATCCTCATCTGATTGTAAGTGATTACTTTCAGCAGGTAGTTATGTGAATGGCCCGCAGGTACTTTTCTGCTGGTCATTAATCTTTGCACACAGGTTACTTTTCATTCAATAATTTGTAGATCAAAACACATGCCATCATCCCCATCTCTTAGGACAGACGCTTCTCTGACCTTCCTGCTGGCTCCATCAGCCTGGACAGTGCTTGTCAGACACATTTCACTTGAATTGGGAGGGGAGGGATTAGAAGCTTTCTTCGGTAATGGGTGATCTTGCACTCAAAGAACGATCTTCTAACTTCCATGTCATAGGCTACAAACACCACATACCAGGGACTGCATTGTCATATGCATTTGTACAGTGACTAAGACGGTAATATGAATAGTACAATAACATTCATCTATTGATCCTGATGAGGAACCTCTGAGTTCTACAGTAACATACATATGAATAACCTGGATTTTTCTCCTCGTTGGTGTTATCCACTATGCTTACTACTCATAGGCTCCCTCTTCTCCCAGCTCCGGGGGCAAGCAGAGGGCAGAGAGTCAGGATTTCAGAGTTTTCTTCCCTGCTTTCTTGCTGGGTCACTTGGATGCATTTATTCAGCTGTCTGTGGCTCCAAATATATACCTACATCACAGAACTCGTGTGAGGCTTCATGGGCCTGACCCAAAACACACTGAAGTCAGTGGAAAGCCTCCAACTGATTTCTATAGGTTTTGGATTAGCCCCATTGTTTGCAAACCACCTCAAGGACCTCTGGCAAGAGGCGCTATGGCACTACAACACATTCTTTATGATTTCCTCAGGGGTGATCAGTTTCTCAAGAGGATGATCAATGGAATGGAGATTTTTCTAAAAGTTATGCTCTAATTTAAACAGAAATGAATTCCAGGAGATGCTACCTGTGTCATTCAAACTATATGATCATCATGGTTGCTTATGGCCTTAGAATAGATCCACCTACCTGCTCATAAAAGCTCACTTTCTACATCTTGCATTGGGTGGTCTGTGTCCAAGAGACTTTCAGGCCCTGCCCTGCCAGCATGTTGTATATCTTGCTGTTACTTTTTATTCCCATTCTGCCTGTTCTTTCAAACAGCTCCTTTTTATCAAATAATGTTAAGGCAATCTGACAGGTGCAGGGGGGCAACTTTAACCTCTCCTGCTGGGCCTGCACCTTACGAACAACTGTGGGACACTCACCCTTCTGCAAAAGAAACAACATGACTTCAGCCATAACTCTGCATCTGAATTGGGACCCATCTGGCACATGGGCCTTGTGCTGGCGCTCTGCACAGAGCTGACTTTCAGGCCAGAAATCTCTGAAATATGGGTCCATTGAAGCCTGGACTAAGCAGAGGCATTTGGTACAGGCACCCTTGCTAAGCTGCTTTTTTGCTAAGTCTTTTACAGGAGTACTGCTATTCCCCTGCCTCCTCTTCCATATACACACATTCTCCTCCCCACTCACATAGGTCGCTCAAGGAATAGTATTGCAGTATCATGGGGTCACATTAGCTCCCAAAGGTGTCCTTTTCTGCAAGCATCACAGAGCAGGGCGCATGCAGTCCTGGGCCAGTCTGCTAGCGCCCACAAGTTCCAGCAAGTCACATTTATAGTCAAGTCTGTTTCTCCAGTACATTACAGAATTCAGACCTGGAATGGCCAGACACATTCTCTGAATGCCAGCAGCTGCCTTCTGGCTGAGCTCCACGGTTGTGCTAAGTGGCTTTGGAGCTGCCCCACGGGTCAGTCATGGATTGGAATTAGAGCCGCAGCCAGCTGGATAGGCTTCCTTCCTGCCTGGGTAGTGTTGCTTTTTTAGCTTATCTCTGCTGTGCATATTTTTCAAGTCCCTGCCTGAAGTCTCTAATAAGATTTGTATGGTGGCTTTTTCCTGACAGCAATCGTTATTTTGCCAGGAATATATTTTTTTCTGCAGACCTCTTCCTTGAACCTCCTCTGCAATTAGCTGAATGGGGATGAGAAGACTCTTTTAAAAAAAAATCAATGAGGGTGCTTATGAAAACGGGTGGCAGAACTTTTGGAATGAGGCAAAGGTGCCTGCAGTTGTTTTTCTCTTCCCTGTCTAGCTCTCTCCATGCAGCTAGCCCTTAAACCAGCAGTGCCACTGCTAGTGACAGTATGGGACTTTCCCGAGCTCAATGGTCAATCATGGAGTGAACTGGGCCATACCAGGCTCACTGATGGGGGCAGGCGCAAAGCGGACAGTTATCCTGGAGCCCAGAGCTTTGAAAGCCCCTGGAGCTCCTGGCTGCTACAGTGGCAGTAGTTGGAGCCCTGGGTCCCTTTGAATTGCTGCAGAAGCACTGCTCCACACAGCTCTCAGGGCTGGGAGGGGGGGCCTGCATCGTGGTCTGGGAAGCGCTAAGGGCCCCACCCCTTCTGCCCTCAGCCTAGGGTTACCAGACGGGTTTCAAAAAAATACCTGATACACGTGATCTCAGAATGGGATGGGGGCGGGGACTGGCTGGGAGAGGAGTGGGGCTGGCTAGGAGGAGGTTGGGGGGAGCAGGGCTGGCTGGGGGAGATTTGGGATGGGAGAAACTGGTTGGTGGGAGTGTCGGGGGCAGCAGGGCTGGCCGGGAGAGATTGGGAGGAGGAGAACCGGCCGGCAGGAAGCAGGGCTGGCCAGGAGTGGGGGGAGAGAATTAGCCGGCAGGGAGTGGGACTGACCCAGGCACACGCAGATCCCAGGGTGCTGCCTGTCTCGCACACAGTCCCAGCGGGGCGCACGGGCGAGTCTGGCCCCAGGGATTCCATCCCGCCCCCCTCTACTGCATAGTTGCATATTTTCTGGCTGATTGATAGACATGCTCACGCAGCGGGAGTGCGTCTACAAGCCAGGCAATATGCAATTAAGTACGGATACTCATGATAATAATAAAACTTACTTAATGAGAAAATACTGGACATTTATATGTCCAGTATTTTCTCAATTTGTTTCCTGGACAGAAAGCTCAACTACCAGACTGTCTGGTTCAAAACCAGACACCTGGCAACCCTACCTCAGCCTCGCCCCCTTCTGGAGGCACAGAGTCAGCCCCCTTGCACCACACTTTGCCGTGGAACCCTCGGTGCCTGCCGGGCCCGCTGGGCTAGACTTTGTGGAGATTTTTAGGGATCAAGGTGAGACCATTAAATTTGTTTTCTGATTCCATCCTCCAGCAACAAGAGGCTACTGTGTTCCCTTTTTGAATCACCCAACCATTTCCTAAATGTTCATGTGTGTGTTTCAGCTGATGCTCTAGTTTAATCTATATCCTCTTGTTTCCACTGGCTGCCTATGAAGGCAGAGGGAAATGTTGGTAGATTTCCAAATTAAAAGCCAGAAACTTGAGACTGAACATACAAAAATTCCCCAAGCAAACCTCATCACAGAACCTGTAGTTTCTTCTCTCTCATGCCCAAATCTTGATCCCATTGATTTCCGTGGGAGTTGTGCCTTTAACATCTACGTGGTCATCCTTTGACCCTTAATGAACTTGCAGTGTAGTCTTGATTTTTTTCTCCCAGCTATTTAAACTGGAAAGCAAGTCACATCTAGCTCAATGTAACAGACCTGGAGGACCTGGAGGGACCTGGAGGGAAAGTGTTTTTCCGACCATTTACCATTAACTTTTGCTGGAACACAAGTCAAAGTAGGATTAAAATTCAGAGCTGAAGGAGAAGACACAGTGTAATATGCTCTAAATCCCCAAAAAATCATTCCAGAGTCAAAACATCCTTTGGCATCTCCTGCGGGTTTTTTTAAATTGCTCGAATGTTTATGGTAGCAGAGTTACTTAAATGCAGTGTTTCCCAAATGATGTTCCGTGGAACCCTGGGGTTCCATGAAGTGAAAATAAGAGTTCTGCGAGAAAATTCCATTACAATAACATTTTATTATTTACAAAAATAATGATTAATATTAATGCATATTAGTTTTTTAGCTTTATTTTTTGTACACATTAAATGTGATTTTTTTAAAATACGTGCAATTAAACTAAATGTTGATCTCATGACCTTGTTTAGCATTTGTTTATTATTATCCTTACTTATTTGTGGTCTACTTTTTCAGCTCCCTATATGAGACTGTTATTAAGGGTTCCGCAAAATTCTTTTAAGTTTAAAAGGGTTCGGTGGCCAAATAAAATTGGGAAACGTTGCTCAAATGGATTAGAGTCTTAGGTTTTTTCTGGGTCCATGGATGGTGTCACATTGTAGTGGGGTTCTGCACAGAGATGTTGACCAGAAAGTACATAACTCCCAGGGAATATGGACTGGAAAGAAGGTTTGGCATGTATTCTTTCACACCTAGCCCACCAGCTTATGCATGAGAATACATACACTTTGTTCCTATTTTAGCCGAGAATCATTTGCTTGAGGGCGGGACTGTGTTTCATGGTTTGGAGAATACATCTGCAGACTAACACAATTTCACAGCACCCATGGGCACCCATGCTGGTTCTGTTTCCCATGACTGGCTAGACTTTGGCTCAGAGTTTCTCAACACTTGCCAGAAGGTGGTGATATGGACTTCTAGACCTACTGGACCGGCACCTTCTTGTCTTACGTAAGATGAGCTTCCTCTCTGGGCTTGTTTAAATACTATTGGGATTTTACAGCTGCTCAGATCTATCCCCAGGAATCTGAAAGATATAGATCACAGTGGGAAAGGTCTCAGCTGTTCAGGAATACGTGGTGCAATACGTTGTTGGCTTCCTGTGGATAAAAATGGGGTTTGTTGTGCTCTCTGCCTTTACAGTCCTTCTGCATTTACATAGGCTTGATGACCATGTGCTGTGTCTGAGCCCGCCTATATCATGATTACAAAAGCTACTTACGGTTTTACTGAGATTGGAGTAAGGAGGGGGCTCAGGCTGTTACTCTAACTAGTTTTAAAGCCCTTTTCAAATGCTGTGTAATTAAAGCAAGAGTAAGATCTCTTTTTGGTGTGGGCCTAGAAACTGATTCTCCATAGAAATGGAGCCTGGTTTGCTTGGAAACAGCTGGTTTCAGGTATTACCTGGGAAAGAGCAGTGGGGCCCCTCCTCATGTCTCTCTTTCAGTCTCTCAGTCTGCAAAGTGCTGTTGTGATGCTTTCAAAGACAAAAACACTTACTACAAAATGAGCAAAACAGCTCAGTAGAAAAACAGCAGCTTTACGCAAGGTTTGCTTCACTGGGTGAAAAGCCAGCAGGGTGGAATCAAAACAACCCCGGAACTTTGATAAGTTCTCTAGGGAGAATGAAAACAGATAAGACTTTCCAGCCTTTGGTTTTGTTGTAACATGCTGGAAAGGGTCACAGGACAGGATGATTATCCTGCACAGAGATCTCTTGTTTCCTGTGTTTTCAAACCTTGTGCCCTCTCTCTCCAACAGGGATACTTAGGTGAGCTCTTGGTTTTTTTTATTAACTTAGCTGGAGTTATGTACTTTACACCGAACTTCTGGGTCTAGTATAGACCTCGCCTTAGAGACTCGGATGTCCAATAAATGAGAGGAAGGCCAGGGAGGCAGTGAAGAATCAGCAGACCCCGTGTACCACAGGGTCCTGTAACAGTCTCGGCCCCTACCTCGGGAAGGGGGGTCGTTATCTTTTGCGGATTTGTCTCTTGGATGGCTCCCCGGTATCCGACCGGGGCGGAGGGGGACCTGGGCCTGCCCCCTCTCCAGGTCCCAGCCCAGGACCCTAAGGGGGGGGTCCTGACCGGGGGGGCTACGGCCGCAACGCACCGGTCCCCGGGGTTTCCGACCCCGTCCTGGGCTGCTTCCTCTGACCCTTTCGGGTCTGTATGTCTCAGTCTGGTCCAGCAGGGTTTCGGGGTTGACTCACCCACTCCGATCACGGAGCAGTCGGTTGCCCGTCCTGGGTCCGCCGTCGGTCCTTCCGCCCCGCCGCTGTCCGGAACGATCGTCCTTGCCCCGTCTCACCGGAGCTCCCTTCCCCCTTCTGCGCCCCGGCCGTCCGGCTTTTAAACCCGGTGCTCCTGCTCAGGGACGCCAGCGCATGCCCCCTGCGGGAGGAGCTGGGCCAGTGTATGGGTGGCCCCTCCGGGCGGAGGCCCCTGCGCCTGCACCAGCCGCCAGCCCTGGGCCGGCACATTAGAGCTACTCGGATGTCCCAGCGGCCATTTCCCGTGGTGCCCCTGGCGTGGAGCGTAGGGTTGGGGCTTGCAATCCCCGCCGCCCTGCCCCCGCCTACATCGGCGGCCGCCGCCGAACAAGCGCGGCAAAGCCGCTCAGGTGTTTCGGCGCCTGTCCCCCGCGGCGCCCCAGTGCGGGGCGCGGGGTTGGGGCTCGCGATCCCCACCGCCCCATCACAGGTCCCTAAACTAAAATCCAGAGGAGGAGGAGGAGGAACTAGGTTCCACTGCTGGCTTCTGGAAAAGATGTCATGAAAACACCCTGACACAAGTAGGGAAAAGCTGTGGGAGGTATCACTCCCACAGGAACAGGCAGACAACCCTGCACAGCCAGGGCTGGGGGAATGAGTCTGCTGTGAAGTCAATGTAGGTGGGGGATTAGAGCCATGTCTGTTTGAGTTTGGTTTATAGTGTCTTTACCCTGAAAGGGGGAGGACTACACATGATGGGACCGGAGGGCCCACGTCAGGAGAAGGGGCCACACTCAAAGGTGCAGAATGAGCATGACAGAAGGAGAGTTGGTACAGAAGCAGAGAGGACCCTTTTGACAAAAGGCCATGCAAAGCAGAAAGGATCTTGGAACTTGAATCTGGTCTCAATTATGTGGTGTAGATCAGGAGTACCTCTATTGGCGTCAGTGGAGTCACTCTGGATCAACAGCAAAAAGAAGACAGATATGTGACAGATATTAGTCACATCACTTAATGCATTCCCAGAAAGTGCTCCGCTACTGGCATGATGAAGACAGTAAAAGAACCAAGATAGAATAGAATAGAATTTGCTGTTTCTTACAGCTGCATGGGGGAAAAAGCCAGAGATCTTACAGGGATTTTTTTACTATAAAAAACATATCAGTCATGTTTAGGAAAGCAAATATCATGGGATGCTCAAAGAGGGTCTGAATTTTGCATGCTAATACATGTGTATTTCTTTAATTAAATAGTATTAATAGTGACTCTATTGCAATAATGTTCCTTCCAAGTTGCATGGCTGAATATTAAGTCTATAATGACTGAAGAATCCTGTGTAAATAATACTGTAGCACTGTTCCGTGCAGAAATGTTTTGCATTCTAGCTGTCAGAGGCGTCTGGATGTATTTGAAACATTGTTGATGAAAGTTTGTCAACACTGCATTGGAAAATGTGCCCTTTGTGTTTTTAGGGCTTAATTCACTGGCAGGAAAGTAGTTCACTGATGATTACTAATTTGGAATTCCAGTTTGTCTTTTCTAAGCAGTTTTGCAGCCGTTTCCCAGCCAGGTATGTCTCCAGTTATGGTAATTATCTTTCAATTGGGAAGCTAATTGACTCTGCTGCAGCGTATGGAATAAATAATGTTCCTATGGTAGCCAAAGGCTTAGAATGCAAGATGTCTCATTTCCCTGAATTTTCTTTCTTCCTCAGAAATTGGGCCTTTTGTGAGAGAGATGAGAGGTTTGAAGCTGGATTTTTGTTCCTTCCTGGAGGTAACGAAAAAGAATGAGAGTTTTGCAAAGCGGAGTGCAAGTTTTGCTTGATTCCCTTTACCCTTGTTCATTGAAGAAGTGCTTACTCATGAGTCCCTTTGAAGTCAGATGTGTGCATTCAAGTTAATGATGGGATTGTTGCTGGATAAAAGATTTACAGGGTCAGGATTGAAGAATTTGACCTAGAAATGGGTCTCAAACAAAATGCCAGACTCAGAGGCCCCAAACTTTAAGGAAAATGAGACCAAAATCTGGATATGACCTTTAGCTGAGACCCATATCTGCTCATACTGTGATTCCTTTAAGGAAGCACCTTTTGTCCAAGTGTCTCTAGATATATTTATACTGCAAGTGAAGGATTGTAGTAGCATGGGTAAATGTACTCCTGCTGTCTTCAATCTCGCTAGCATAAATAACACTAGTAATGTAAGCTTCAGCAAGGCTAGCAACCAGAGTACAAGCCTTCTGGGTAGAGCCTCCAAGGATACAAAATGGGTATCTGCATCTGCCAAAATGAGTAGTGGATTTCTGCAGATGCAGATACCCATGGATATAAATTGAATTGCAGGGCTCTACTTCTGGGAATCCTACCTGTATAGTCTGGTTGTTCTCCTGTGCTTACATCTACACTACTAATGTTTCCTATACTAGCTGAATTAATGGCAGCAAAGATACACCTCACCATGCAACATTCCCCTCTTTACTTGCAATGTAGACATATCCTCAAAAGTAGTTTACAAACACTGCACCATGCTTTTGATTCTTGTTCATAGACTCATAAATTTCAAAGCCAGCTTAGATCTTTATGCTTATCTAATCTGCCCTCTTGCATTACACAGCTCACAGACATCCTCCAAAATAATTCCTGTTTGACCCCCTGCCATTAATCCTTGCTGCCATCCCAACCCCACTACACTCTGCTTTTTCTTTTGCCAAAGATACATTTAAAAGAATCCTTTTATGTAAAAACATGCTCAAGTGCACATTGTTTGGTTGATTTCAATGAAATACCATCCTTGCTCAAAAAGAGTGATTATTTTGCATGACAGTTGTAGATGGATTAACTGGGGTCCAAAGAGGTTAAGTGACATGCCCACAGTCACACTTTAGTACGTGGCAGAGTTGTGATTCCGGTTACCAGGCACCTAACAAGAGATCATAGGCCAGCTGTATACATTAATGTAATTCTGCTGATCTGGAAGGAGCTACACTTAAAAGTTGGCCCCACATTTCTCCTCTTTCCCCATGATAGTCACTGCTCTATCCCTGAGAGCTTAACAAAATGACATGTTCTAAGCCTCTAGAACACAAAGTTCATTACATAGTATAAACTGATACAAACTTTATGGTTCTAAATGTTTTATGCACTAGTCTCTACAATGCTTCACTACACTGAAGTCCTTTTAATAGGCCAGATTGTATACTTAACAGCTAGTTTGTCTAGAATCACTGTCTATTTTTAAAATGGAAGAGGCTTCCAGATTTCAATTTGAAAATATTTTGTTCAAATCCATTTTACATTTACGAAGCATGGTATGTATTTGGTTTAGAGAAGTTGAAACCATAATCCAGCATGGTTGACTAAATTTCAAACCACCATTTAAAAAAAAACATTTTCATCTGCTGATACTAAACATTTTGATCATTCAGAATGTAAATTGCATTGCCTAAAGATACTGATGGGTTTGGGTGTAAACAAATACGAATCAGGTGTTGACTGATTCATATCCAACATTATTGTCTGGTTCATACCTTCTATGACATTTTTTCCCCATCTTCTGTAATTGCTTTAATGTTAAATAGTTTACATACCTGTGCATTTAATAGCAATGTTTTTAAAAATGGGGGGGGGGGGGGTGAGCAGGGTGCAGAGAGGGAGAAGCACAAGTAATTAAAATATCATTGTTACAATTGATTGGAATGTTATTCTTTCAGTGCATGTTATTGTACTGTCATCTGGAATGTATTCCCTGGAGAATCAAGGGGTGGGCATAGAAGAACAAGGGAGGCAAATTCCTAGTGCTGCATCCCATAGCAATGGACCCAAACCTGATGTACTTGCTCTAGCATGATTCCCTGTAATGGGGTGGCCTGCTTCAGGTCATTCCTAAACACACCCCTACGAGATGGTTAAAGCTTTTCCCGGTGGTGTGACCTCACCTAGTAAGCTCTGAAGGCCATCTGTTGATCAGCCCTAGCCTCTATTTGTTTTGCAAGGAAGCTGAGTCTATAAAGAGTTTAATTACACCACAGAAGCGGTTTTCTTTTTTACTAAACAAATATTTGCAACCTATTCTGGGTGAGCAAGCGTTCAAAGGGGAGGAAAAACAGGCAGCTTGCCATTCATGTGGTCTGGAAGGCATGAGGGGAAGAATTTTGGTGGGGAGGACGTCAGGGGTTCAGTAGTTGGGTAAAGCACCCTTGTTCCCCATTCCTGAAACCCTATAATCTCAATGATCCGGAACATTCTTCACAAAGCACCAGAAATCCACACCATCGCCCTACTTCCTCTCTCCCCTAGAGGGGGGGATAGACATGCACCCTCATACTTCAGCATGTGAGCCAACCTCTAACTGATGGTGACTACAAAAACACTGTCCCAGAAGCCACTTATTGTTTGGAATGTCTTTGACTTCAAGTATATTTCAATCATGGGTAGGAAACTGACTTAGCTGGGGACTAGTTTTTTTCCTCATGTAGCCCACAGCAGGA